TGTAGAAGGAGAAGAACTGGAGGGAATGACAGGGGCAGGTAAGTTATTAGAGGGAAAGGGGACAGTTGTTAGTGGAACATGATTAGGAAGAGGGATGCTGGAAAACAGGGAGGATAGAGATGATGAAGGTGTCTGACTAGTAGGTGTATTGCCATTTTGGATAGGAGAAATAGGTGGAGAAAATAACTCTAGATAGGGAAATCTGGATTCATGGAACAAAACATCTTTGGATATATAAAGCTTGCCACTAGGGGAAAGACATTTATAACCCTTGTGAGAGTTGGAATAACCCAAAAACAAGCATTCATGGGACCTGAATTCCAGCTTGTGTGCGTGATAAGGTCTCAGAAGAGGGAAATAAGCACAACCAAACACCTTCAGAAACTTGTAGTCAGGAGCAATGTGAAACAGAAGAGTGCAGGGAACCTGGAATTGAATAGCTGAGGAGGGAAGTCTGTTGATGAGAAAGACAGCTGTGGTGAAGGCATAATCCCAGTATGTTAATGGTAGAGAGGCTTGAATTAACAGAGTCAAGCCTAGATCCACAATGTTCCGATGCTTCCTTTCCACCACTCCATTTTGGTGGTGAGTATGAGGGCAGATAACTTTATGCACAATGCCAAGGTCAGAAAGAAACTTGTTGAAGGGACGAAATTCTCCACCCCAATATAACTGAATAGCTTTGATAGGAAAACCAAATTGTAGTTCCACAAGAGACTTAAACTGCTTGAAGACACCAAGTGCTTCGGCTTTGGTTTTAAGCAAATACAGCCATATGAATCTGGAAAAGGCATCTACAAATGAGATATAGTAGGTAAAGCCTTGTGTTGAAGGTTGAGGAGAAGGTCCCCACAAATCACAGTACACAAGCTCTAAAGGGTGAGAATAAGTGGTGTGTGAGGCAGGTGAATGCAATTTATGTAATTTACCCACACAACAAGCAGAACAGAAAAAATCATGAATTTTATTGCTAAATTTGAGATTACAACTTTGCAACACCAATCTCAAAGTGTTGATATTAGGATGGCCTAGTCTTAAATGCCACACATTGGACAAAGCAGGAGAAACATCAACAGTATTAACAGAAGGTGCAAGTTTGTTTAAAGAAGCTAAGGGCTTAGTGGACACAGCAGATTTGGAAAGGTTGAGCATAGGGAACTCATACAGCCCATCAGACCCCACATGACCAGTTAGCAGAACATCGCTAGATACCTGGCATTTGACAAAGCACGAATCAGCTGTGAAAAGGAAGTATACCTGATTGTCACGACAAAACTGACTCACACTTATGAGATTCTTGGTAATAGATGGCACATGTAAGAGATTATTAAGTGTGAGAGGTGTGTGAGGGTGATTTTGAGAAAGAAACTGACTAGAACCAGTAGAGTTGATGAGAAGACCTTGGCCATTGCCTATGTAGATTTGTTCATGACCCTCAAAAGGTGTAGCCTGCTGCAGATTATTGGCATCATTGGTGACATGATAGGAAGCTCCAGAATCAGGATACCAGGACATAACAGAGGAAGAAGGAGTGGCATTGGCAATGAATGTGCTGGGAGCAGAACAGGTAAGAGCTGGCCTTGCTTGAGCAGTTGGAGGTCGTGTCCACACATTAGCAGGGAAATGACCATAGGGCACCTTAGGAAACTGCCAAGGGGAAGCATGATAGGGACTGCTACTGTAAGAGGGATGCTGAAAGTTCTGATTAAACCTATGCCAGCAATTTAAAGCTGAGTGTCCAACTTTGGAGCAAACTTGACACTGAACTGTAGAATTTCTGCCACCTGAACCTTGTCCACGACCACCTATGTTGGATCTGCCACCTCTAAAGCTAGAATACTCAGGCTCAGCACGAGAGGGAGCTACTTGTGAGTGAGCAGATTCAGTGCTGCCAGATTGAGGATTTTCAGGGGAAGCAGCTTGAGGTGAAACATGTGTAAGATTGAGAGATCCAAGATCTGGCACAATAGTCTTCTTAAATCTGTTCAGCCTTAACTCATGAGCAACAAGGAGAATTTCCACTTCATCCAAATCCATATCACCAAACTTGCTCTCAACAACAGAAACAACCGGAGCATATTCGCTAGGAAGCCCCTCAAGAATCACATCAATGTGATGAGAGCTGGGAATAGGATCTCCAATTGAGGCTAGAGCATCCACAGTAGTGCGAATTTTCAACAAATAGTCAGAAACAGATTGAGATTCCAGAGTTAGGGCACGTAATTCCACACGCAACTGGCGTGCACGAGCACGAGTTTGCTTCTGGAAATAGCTGAATAGACGATCCCAGAGCTGATGCGAATGAGAGCATCCAAGGACACGCGACAGAATTTCGCTCGAGAGTGTGGATTGAAGCCAAGATAGAAGCAACTGATCTTTCTGAAGCCAAACAGAATATGCAGGATTAACCATACCTTGGCGACGAGCATCATCGTCCAAAAATTTGGACGGAATCCGAGTGCACACCACGAGATCCGTGAGATTATGCGCGTTGATGTAGGGTTCCACCTGTTGACGCCAGAGATGAAAGTTTTTCTCATCGAGTTTGTGCGCGATTTTAAGAGAGAATTGGAGATGACGCAGCAGTCGCCGCCGTGAACGACGAGGCCGACACTGTGACGTTAGCGGAAGACGACAATCCCGGTGACGCCATGGATCGAGAATGGCTTAATCTGATACCATGATAGAAGACATAACAGAGATAGAAAATATAGGGAAGCTTTTCATTTCTGTTATTTGAACTGCAAAGTTGGTTACAGATAGTGCACACAGTTGCATTTATAAGGCAATTTGTGTGACCTGCTACAACAGATAGGCAAGCATACAGGACATGACAAGTGCCAGTCATAACAAACTTAAAACAAGGCTTAACACTTCTATTATTTGCCTTACTCTAATACACTAACAACAAAAACACACACGCACAATAACATAGTTTAGTACCACAAACTTTGACGGAATTTTACATTTTCCAATATCATGAATCTTAAGAGATTTGAAAAATGTTCTACTAACTCACATTCAATTATATTTATACTCTCCTGACCTTTCTTCTTTTATGAAAATTTGGCTATTCTTAAATTAGAATGTTTGTCGATTCGGTTGACATTAGAACTGTCTCAATTTTTCGGAAGTCTCTGTATAAATAAGTCATGGTTTAATCAGGGAGGGAGCCATGTGCAAAGAAGTGTGGGCTAGTGCCCCTACTATCTTTTAATGCTTTTACATGAGTAGTATACTTTACATTGAAATAAATATTTCAATAAAATCAATAAAATCTTTATGCATATTATTTATATATTGAAGACAAGTTTGATTAATCTAAAATAAAGATTATTACATGTTCCATTCAGTAAAAAAAACTTAAGTATCACAATAATTTTCCACATCTTCTATTGTTTGTAGTTTGCTTTTAATTATATAATAATAATAATAATAATAATAATAATAATAATAATAATAATAATAATAATAATAATAATAATAATAATAATAATAATAATAATAGTAACAATAATATAAAAATAAATTATAGTAAAATTCAAAAGTTTAGAATTATATTTCTATAAAGTTTAAAATTTTCATACTTTATATGAATTATATTTAAAGCTGCTAAAAGTTTAATTGCTGAGTCTTTTTTCACAGATAAATATTATTAAAAATGTTTCGTTAAACAAGTTAAATTAATAATTATTTACGATATCATATATATATATATATATATATATATATATATATATATATATATATATATATATATATATATATATATATATATATATATATATATATATATATATATATATATATATATATATATAATACGAGTTTCAATCTGCAACATTTCATTTATTTAATTTTAAAATGAAAACTTCAATCACTAAATTATTTGTCAACAATATATAATAAAAAATTAATGAGAAATATTTTTCTCGATATTATATTGTCACTTTTTTATCTCAAAATAGTTATAACTTTAAAATATTAATATAATATATTTTTATCAACATATTTTTATTTATTGAATTTTACTTTACATATGTTAAATATAATAATAAATATAGTATGATAAATTTTATTATTAAATATAAGTATTTTATAAAAAAAATCATACAAAACTTAAATGTAATACTTAATACTCAAACTTTAAAAAAAATTTATATAAATTACTAAGATTCTGACTGTCATTGGGTTTAATCATAAAAAATAAATAGAGCAATTTAACTATTATGAATATTTTATAAAATATATATTTAACCTTAATAAATTTGAACTCTTTAAAGACGGCTTACACATATATTATTTGTAGTATTTGAGTTTGTTGATCAAAACATAGTTATTTGATATGAGATTTTAATATGGTGAAAGATTTAATTTGTTTACTTTATTTTCTAAATAAAATTGTACTTATTTATTTAATTTCGATTTATATATGAATAAGATAAGACGACATAAAAACCGGGATATTTAATTCGGAAATGGAATATTGTCATCCAACGGTTCTTTTCCATGATACTATTTTTTTGCTTAATTTAATGTTTGTCTGTGATTGGCAACGGTTTGATTTTAAACGAATCGCCGAGTTTCTTTTGCATAATCTCGCGACTTATCGGGATAATTATCGTGGTTGTTGCGTATGTTTGCCGTTGGCCTTGTTAGTCAAGGGAGATCAGATTGCTTACCCCTGCTGTAGGATACTGTGGGCCAGTTAGGCTATTATTATCCTTCACAAGTTGAGAACAATTCAATCCAAATGTTGAAAGAGCGATTTATAAATAATTTTTTATTTATGACGCGGTATTTTATATATATATATATATATATATATATATATATATATATATATATATATATATATATATATATATATATATATATATATATATATATATATATCGAGACTTATAGTCGACTTAAGGAGGATGGTGAAAAGGCAAGAAAGCGTAGATATGTGTGTATCTCCGGTTAGTGTCCTTGGGATCAGAGAGCTAGGCCGCGTCCTATCTCCGGGTATCTATATTTGGATAATATTCTCCAGGACGCGACCCAACAGGATACGAAGAGTCATCGTGACCGTAACTCTAAAAATGATCACCAACTATTAATCATCAGTCGTTACTCTGAGTTAAGTGCATCAATGATGGCTGGCGGAGGACATTCCAAGGCAATGATAACACGATGAACTCCAAAGTGCGTCTTAAAGGAAGCTCTTGGAGGTATTATGGAAGCTATATATAGGAGCTCCCGCTAGAGGGATAAGCAAGACATACTTTTTTGGGACAATACGCATCACTGACGTAACTCTCAAATCCCCAATCATACTTACAGAAATCTACCTTTGAGACTCTCCATATCCCTATAGGAAAGTTAACAGTTTATTGTTCCTACGCAAGAACATTTGGCGCCTACCGTGGGGCCTCAGTAAAATTGTCTTAGGCCACACAACAAACCACATTCGTTAGAATATCAACTGATGAGGACCCCTTAGATATGGCGCAACTATTGGCCATGGTGGAGGTCCTCAGACAACAAAATGATACCTTGCAGAATAGTGCAGCAGACCTGTAACAAAAGAGTCAGGAGGAGGGGGGACCTCCGGAAGAGGAGCTTATGGATCTTCAACCACTCTCACAAGCAATCTAGAACGATCAAGTCCCTGACAACTTCAAAGCACCATCACTCACAACTTATGATGGCAAGTCTGATCCTCAAGAGCACGTTATTGTTGTCAATAATCATATAGAAATAATAGGCCCTACTAATTCCCTGAAGTGTAAACTCATGGCAGGAACCTTCAAGGATGTAGCCTTGAGGTGGTATATGATCTTACCCTGGTTATCTGTAGAAAGCTACACAGATCTAACCAAGAAGCTGGTACAACACTTCTCGGCCAACAGACACCGCAAGGTGTCAACCACTACCTTATTTAATGTTCGATAGGGGCAGTTGGAATCCTTGCAAGAGTACTTGGCCAGATTCAATGAAGAAACCATCAAAGTATCGCACCCTAATCAGGAGTTATTCGTGAAAGAGTTTTAACACGGTTTACGGGCTTGGAAATTCAATGAGTCCTTAGCTTAGAAACCGACCTCCAACATGAAGAAGATTATTAACAGAGCATAATGTTACATAAAAGGAGAAGATAGTAATCGGGAGAAATGCTCAAGAGACACTATTGAAAGGTCCAAAAGCAAGGAAGATAGGGAAGTGTGACACTAAGAACCTTCCCGGTACACTGCTCGGGAACGCGCCCGGGAACGTCTTGGGGGAAGGGTCGGTCAGAGAGAAAATCACAGACCTTTGGTTTTAGATGAAGATTTGACTCTGTTGAATACTCGGAGGGGAGATATACTGCAGGAGGTTGACCACTTGAATCTGATCCCGATAGCGCCAGCTCTTCCTAAGGTGGCTTACGCCGTGATGGGAAAGGACACTAGAGCTTGGTGTAGTTATCATCGACTTCGAGGTCACCACACCGGCGATTGTCACTAACTGAAGAAAGAGATTGAAGCGCTGATACAGAGGGGACATCTCTTGTCCAATGTGAAAGACAATAAGTCACAATCTGGGAAGATATACTCTCAAAGGGACGACTCGGGACCAGAAGAGTCTTCTCACAAGAAGGGGAAGAGCCCTGAGGAAGTCCACGAAACAAAATCATCTCTCCATACTCTCAACACCATCATTGGTGGGTTCGTTGGAGGTGGAAAAATGAGTTCAACTAGGAAGAGGTATGCTTGGGCTGTGATGCACGTGTCAAAGAAATCACCCGTCATCCAAGAACGCGACTTGAATCCGGTGAGCTTCTCCAAGATTGATGTTGTGGGAATTCTTGCCCACAAAAATAATCTGATGGTTGTTAAAGTCCAGATCCGTGATTGGAGTGTGAAGAGGGTACCAGTGGATCCGGGAAGCTCAATCGATGTTCTATATTGGGAAGCCTTCAAAGAAATGTAGTTCAATACAACCGAGTTGTAATGCCCGTTAATTTAATTAAGTATTTAATTAAAATATTTTTAGATTATTTGTTGAAGTTACGAGATGTTGAGAATTATTGATATAAGTTGTTGGATTATTATTAATTAATTAATTAGTTGATTAATTATAATTATAATTTGGAATTAAGGAGAATATATGTATACAATGTTGGACTTATACTATTGGTTAGAAGTAGTAAAATGGGGGTGTAGTTTAGGCCCAATAGGATTGATATATAAGGAGAATCTAACACAAGAATTTGTTTTAGTTGAAGAATAAGGTTTTCTGTATGCTGACCGGTAGAGCCGCGTGGACGAGGAGCAAACTGCCCGGTGTCGAGCAGAGCGAATCAAGGATTACGACCAAAGCTTTGGTTGAGCGACCTTCAATCCAGGTAAGGGTGGGGTTTTGACCTTATAATGGTATTTATGATGTTTTTTATGGACGATTGGTCGTAATTGTGATTGTTGCCCGTGATGTTGTTGAACCTGATAAGGGAAGATGCCTGTTCTGTTATGTTGTGGATGTTTTATGTTGTCTGCATGACTGCCCGATAGAATCGATGAGTAGGTTTATGTAGATTTTTGCATGTTGTTGTGGTCGTTAGGTTGTTGTGGTCGTTATGATAGTGTGGTCGTTACGATGTTGTAGTGGTTCGAGCAGTTGGCAGGAAGTTAGGAATTATTGTTGTAGTCAGTCTTGTATAATGAACGAATCTATCGATAGGAATATAGTTTCCTGTTACTGTGTTATTTCGAGCGGTTGGCCGGAAGTTATGAATTATAGTGGTGTGGTCATTAAGACGTGATATCGTGACTGTGTTGTTGGCCGAATTAGTTGTCAGGGAGGATACTGAAGTAGTAGGTATCGAGCGGCATTTTAGGCTGCGAGGCATGTCGGGGAATGATGCGTTGGATTTTTCGAGCAGAATTAGGTTGCAGGACGTGTCGAGGAGCATAGGTTGGTCGTTACCCTGTTTTCCCCCCGTGCGTGTCGAGGAGTAGGGATTATTGTTATGTGTAGCGGTGAAAATCGGAGATCAAGCTATTAATTAACTTGACTCGCGAATAAGCAAGAGTCGCCACCGCGCTTTATTATTTCCAAAGGAAAAGGGAAAAGAGCGAAATAAAACCCTAAAATATGCAATGTAAAATAATACTTAAAAGTAATGAAAATACAATGCGTTTTTTAAAGATATCTAAAGTTCAGGGGTTGATTATACAATGGGAAGGTATTAGCACCCAATGCATCTGCGGTACTCCACAGGGACCTTTTGAAGTATCTGTTTTTTAAATTGTTTGTTTGATTAAAATGGTTCATTTGGTAAAAATGTTTGGTTTGGCTAAAAATGATTTATTTGGACGATGTTTTGAAGATACGACGACCTAGTGTCGAAGTTTTGGCTTAAAAGGTGTGAGTTTGAAAATTGAGTCTTTAGGAAAATTATCTTAAGTTTAGAAAAATAGTAAACAAGTAAAAATGAATGAGGGTATTCGCACGATCATATTAGATATTCTATGACATGAAGTCGACTAATTAATTCTTTTCCTTGGATTTGACAAATAAACAATAAAAGATTAATACTAAAGCATCAACACTAGAAAATTCACAAGAGAAAGCCATTAAATCGAAATTATCACAACATCAATCAAGAAATATCACGAGGAAATTAATTCAATAGAATAAGAAACAACCAGGTCAAGATAATCAATAAGAGACCAATTTAGAGAGACAAAGAAAATCAAACGAGAAAATGTAACTAAATGAAATAACTAAAAAAAATTAATTAAGCTAAAATACTATTAAAATCACAAGTTTTACTAAATTTATTTTAAAAGCTAAACTAGTTAATTTGGAATTATCTAATTAATTAAAGTTATTAAGAAAACCTAACTAAGATAATAAAAGAATTCATCAACTCTTAACTTAAACACTAAAATTGAAAGGAAAAAAAAGGGTACAAGGTTAGATTATAGGGACAAAATTGGATCAGGAGTGTAGAGAGGTAATAGTGAGAAACTAAGGCCTGCTCACGAATGAATCCAGAAGTGTTTTTTGTTACACTAAACTTTAGGATGTTTAAAAAATAAAATGGAATGGGCCTAATGGAACTATTCGGTCCCAAGACTCAATCATCAATTTCAGCATACTTATTTCAATTAAAATAAAACTAAGAATGATTGAATAAAAACGAAACAAAAAACAAGGAGAAAATTGAAACGTGAGGAAGATTAGGGTTACAGGTTGTAATACCTCAACTTTTGAAACGCTTCTCCCTTCTTCCTCTCGCGCCGCAGTTTCTTCAATGTCCTCCAAATCTTTCAGATTATCGTTGAGAGATAGTGAATCTAGTTGATCCGCCGGGCTATTACCTTGTTGAGCAACATTTCTCAGCACATCCATGGCTTCAGCAACTTTAGCCTTGAGAGCATCAGGTGATTCAATCAGATGTAATACTTTAGGCTGGTCCATCTCCAAAAGCATGCCAGTAACCTTGGCTGCTAAATCATATTCTAACTGATCTACCAGCGGATACAAAGCCTCCCTAAGCATCGTCCTCTGCTGTTCAGAAGGAGCATTTGCAAGTGCGGTAGCCAAAGCATGAATTGGCATAGGTGGTAGAACATCATGGAGTGGCAGACCTCCCATTTCATAGGACATCATTCCACCAGCTATGTTTTGCACAAGGGCATCTTGAATATTGTTGCGTCCTAAAGGGTAGCGATAAACACGTTGCCTTGGAAGCATCTGTTGCTAAATCATTGGAACTGGCTGCTGGGATTATTGAACAGGACCTCCTCTACCAAGCATGCTCCAACGGTTGTTTGAACAGAGACATGAGGGGTGTCACGAGCAGCGAAGTTTTCGAAGGTATGAAACAACTTATCATCTTTTTCTTATGTGTATTTTTTACTGTATTGTTACATGTTTGTTTGAAATTGGAGGAAGATGATGTTTGTGCAGAATTTATTTTTGGTAACTACTGTTATTGCTGAAGGTATATATCTTGTTCTGTGGTATATTTACAGGGTATATATGAGGCTACCAATTAAATGACTTTTGGTTTTTCTGTATGAAAAAAAAGAATCCCTTGTAACGCTCCCTACTGGTTTTTTTTGTCTCCCTTTTCTATTGAATAATATCTTATCTTTATAGGAAAAATGATCAAATTTGGGGGGAAAAGTTGGTTTTATTGTAACTGTTTTATTACTTTTCAGTGCAGGTATTTGTGGTTTCATTTTGGGCATGTTTTGGATAGAAAGGATAAGGACAATGTAGCAGAGGCAACAGCAGGTCTTGGACAGACTTGAGCATGGCAGTAATAGCAGGGTTTTGTGGGAAGCAAGATCACAGGTTTTTGTTAGCATAGAAGACTGTTTTGACAGCAGTATAGCAGTAATCATAGGCTGATCTTGGCTAGGCATGGTAGGCTTTGTACTGAACTGATTTTGGACTGTTTTGTGACAGTTTTGACAGGTTTTGTTGCAACTTTAATCAAGGCTTTGAAGCCGTTTTTTGTGTTTTGGATATAGGGATGCCATGAAATGGTTTTAGATGATGAAATAATGAAGCAAGGCAAGGCATGGCAATTTGAAGGCTGAGCACGAAGATTGAACTTGATGTTTAGGCTTGAAGATTAGGATTTTTGACAAATTTCATGTAATTTCTTTATATTTCAAAATGTAATAACATGATAATCTGTAACTACTTCATCTTGCAATGAGCTTTGAATCTTGTATTGAACTCTTTGAATGGATATTGCAAAACATGAGTAGGATTATTCAAAGCTTAGAATCAAAATTTATGTGACTTTTGAAGCTTGAATAAAAATATAACTTGAGCAAATTCTCTTAATGAGCTCATGACATATTGTTTTGATAAGAAATTGGTTCAAAATATTTGATACAAGATCAAAGTTGAATGGTTCGTAAAGTCTTTGTCATAGGATTTGAATTCTCATGATGTACTTGAAATTTGTGACATAAGAAATTAGGAACTCCTCTTGTAATACAAAAATGATGGTGATGTATCTTGGAACTTAAATCCAAACAAGTCTTGAATAATCCTAGTAGTGTAAATTATGTGAAAATGTGTTTGGGTTCTCAATATACATTTTGAATGAAATTTGAATGGTAGATGAATGAATATATTGTATTTACTCCTAAAGTTCCAAACAAATTACATGACTTGATCTTCAAAATTGAGCACACTTGCATCACGAGAAATTAGTTCTTTTGTATTTCTTGAATCCGAAAGCAAATTCATATGAATGAATTGCGCTTCGCACACCTGAATCGATATGAAATAAAATAGAATTATTTGAATTGTTCCTCAAATCTTATTCTTTACAAAACCATATCATCAATTTGTTGTAACTTGCAATACGAGCCAATAAGACAAATTGCTCCTTTAAGAGATTTAACCAATAATCCACCTTAATCCAATGATCGCTAATGTTCAATTGCAAATGACTTGAGGCAGGCGACAAGCAATTACTGAATCATTTAACTGGAACTTTAGTTTCATGAATTATCCCAACATAAGACTCAAACGTCTTTTGAGAAAAGATCTGTGGCATAAATTGAACATCGATCTTTGAAGTAATCTCATAGACAACGCTATTTGTGATGCTTCGCAAAAGAATCGTCTCAGGATGTTGAAAATTGAAGAAGTCGTGACTGTTTGATCTTGAACTTGAAAGAGTTAACTTTTGGTCGAAGTGCTTTGAATCGACTTGAAAACTTAATCTTTCTTCGCATTCCAAAGAATCTTGATGCACATGTAAACCAGTGATGATGAAATCTTGATTGTTCTTTGGGGAATTTTTGTAGAAGCTTGAGACCACTTGTCGAATAAGGCGTGGAGATAAACACACGATTCCCCTAATGAATCAGTCTTCAAGAATCAACGATCAACTGTACTTCTGGCTTGAGAGATTCTGAACCCTAATCGAGGAATGACGCCCGATGCTCTTGATTCATATCTGTTTCCTGCAAATGAAATCAAAGAAACGAAAAACACACACTTCGGGCTTGATTAGAAGTTAGTGATACATAGGCTAAGAATGTTCAAAATACTTGACAATTTCTGCATAGTCAATCCTCGAAGGTGAGACATTAAAACCGACCGTATTTCGTGACATTGACTTCTGTATAAAAATTCAAAAAATAAAAATGGGATCTTAGGTCAAAAATTGGGGTATGACAGCTGCCCCTATTTAAGTTTCTTCTATCCGGAGATATGAAGATTGGAATCTTCATTTCGACGAGATTGAAGGGACTTAAATATATAATACACAATTTTTGGCCTTAAGATACCGCAATTATGTTTATGATATGATATGAATGTAATATTTTGAATTTTATGGGGAATGATGCCGCATGAGACAAATTACTGCTGGAGAGACCAAATAGAAGATAGCATAATCCACAGGGGAAGAGATTATAACTCCATTGGAGAAACATAGTCATAGACTTCAAATGAGAGACTCTTATTAGAGAATAACTTTGAGGGAAGAAACGAATGATTTACATAAGTATTGAGACTGGAAAAGAAATGATTTAAATTAGTACGGAGACTGGAGATAATAAGACATCAGTACTGAAACTGGTAAATTCAGTACTGAGACTGGTAACAAACGATTGGCATCAGCACTGTGACTGGAAAAGGAAATGATTTATATCAGTACTGAGACTAGAAAATAAATGATTTACATCAATACTGAAACTGGTAACAAACGATTGACATCAGCACTGTGACTGTAAAAGGAAATGATTGACATCAATACTAAGACTGGAAAATGATTGGCATCAGTACTGAGATTGGAAATAACATCTCTGACTTCTGAATTTCATAAAGAACGGTAACACATTTCTTCTTTAACTAAGATATCGCTTGAAAAGGATAAAATACAAACTTCCCCACGGGGCTTTTCCGAAGAGATGCTGTTTGCTAAGTAAACATTATTGTTGGGGATACAAGCTGCTCAAATAAAAGGCTGCCACTTGCTATCTTTCAAAGGTGTCAATAACATACAAGTTGCTCATGAAGAGACCGCCGCTTGTTGTTTTTCAAAGATAACAATAACACACAAGTTGCTCATGAAGATACCGCCGCTTGCTATTTTTTTCAAAGGTATCAATAACATACAAGTTGCTCATGAAGAGACCGCCGCTTGCTGTTTTTTTCAAAGGTATCAATAACACACAACTTGCTCATGAAGAGACCGCCGCTTTCTGTTTTTCAAAGGTATCAATAACATACAAGTTGCTCATGAAGAGACTGTCGCTTGTTGTTCCGTCGGTATTCCAAAAGGATGTTGTGGTAACACTACTAGGGAATAAAGTTCTTCTTCAAAGGGAACCATGAATATGTCCTTCCTGAGGATACCAAGTATATTAATGCGCAAAATAAATGCGCTCTTCATCCAGGTTTCACAGCCTAGAGAACACCACGGGGTAGCCTATGCAAGAGACAAAGCTCAATCCAGGAATAAAACAGAGAGAAAACAATCAAACAAGACTCCACCCAATGAGGAAATAACTCAATTGGGGATTCATCCTATCCAGAGATGGACAAGGAAGGCTAAGCAAAATTCTTCCATGAGGATTAGCTCAATAGGGAATTAGAAAGGAGGCGCACTTTCTGCTTAAGTTGACACTCTGTTTGGAAAGAGCAAATACACTATTTGAATAGACATAACCAAGGTATACGAACCCAATAACATCAGCAAATACAAATGTGCGTGCATGATGTAAGTGTGGATGAATAAATGAATGTCATGTATATGATTGACAAAACAGATAAAAGATAAACTGGAGATGATAAGACATCATAGTAAAACTCGACACTCGACTAATCTCAACAAGATGGGAACATTACTGGAGATAGAACAAAAGCCATTAGAGCAAAGTCCTTTTACAAGGCTTAAATCTCTCTGGAGAGGAAGATATTTTTTGGTAGAAAACCCAAAGTCCAGTCTTCTATCGTCAATAATCCATTGAAAGGATAACAACACGAACAATGCTTTAGCTGGAAAAAGTCTTGCTTAACTGGAGATACTGAGAACACCACCCTCTGATAATGTGTCCATATCATATCACATATCTTGACAAATCTGGATTGCCCCTGGGACTAATTTTGGATGCCCCAAGTTTACTACTGATAAGCTGCGTGATGCACGACAATTCTTGTGAATAACTTCACTTCTAAAATGCCCCAAGCTATATGGTTGATGAGAAGAAATCGTCTCAAGAGGATTTTACAAAAGACCTGGCATCCACCATGCTCTAGTGTCTTCAAACTCTTAGAGAGATTCGTTGAATCTCAACGTGATTGCCCCGTATTGACTGCACTTGGCACAACAAAATCTTCAAATTTTTCCCCAAAAGGGTAAACAAGTTGGGAAAGCATTAACTGGGAGAAGCAACATGTTCGTGCTTAAGGTCTTCATGTGACATGCCCCTGGATATGATTTTTCTTGAAATGATTCGCCAATTACTCAATAGAGTTTCAGGCCTTAAAAGAATAAACTCATCGCTAGTGCTTATATGTGAGCTTCCTTGAAATCAAACAAATGTTTTGCAATTAGAAAAAGTTTATTATGAGAATGAAAATTCTAATGCAACAGTTATGTAAGTCTTAAAGATTTTGAAAAGATATCGCACAAAGTTCCCGAGTTAGAGCACCATTTATTTTTGTATAGCAAAAGCATATGATACCAACATAACTATTTAGAAAATATTCAT